CTTTTACATTCCTTTTCCACAGAAGGTCTGCTCTGTTTTTGTCCAGCAGCATTGCTGATGGTTACTTCCTTCTTACCCCATCATCTCCTAAGGCCACTGCTGCCTCATCTCACCTGCCTCCTCATGGCTCTGCCTCTGCGCCCCATGTCCGTTGCTGCTTCTGGTGCCTCTTGCACATGTAGGATGGTAACAGCAAAGTTCTGGACTTCTCAAATTGCTGCAGTCTGAAACTGGGAAACACCTCTGAGAGCAGGGTATACTTTAATATGGAGTGCATGACACGGGGGTTTCTTTGGTTCAGAAAGAGTCTTCCCCTTCTCAAGTGAAAAGTTCCAGCAGGGGGTTGGGATACGAGCTTTTTCAGGTATGAAAATATGAGAACATACCAGTGCTTTCAGAGCTGCTCTGGCATCTACTCAGTGTTCTTCTGACCTCCATCCAGGTAACTCCCTTTTGAAGTTATCATCAAAAACATAAACACCTGCACTGAACTTGATCTCTTTGCCTCCCTCTCTTACTTTTTCTTCCCGTTTTGTGAGATCTTTATCAGCTTTTATGTCAATTGGATGCTTCCCTTTACTCAGATACATGTGGCTAGGAGTCTGTGACTCATGGCTAGTTGAGATGTTTTGCTACTCTTCTGTCTTCCAGTTCCTGACTCTCCTCTTTGAGACCTTTACAAGGTGATATCTCCAGTGGTGGCAGCCTGTCCGTGAGCTTTGCACACCATAGGACCTGTCCCTTCCTCATCACAGGGAATAGAGCTTTACTGTGGATATTTTTAGGGACTAACGAGCAGATGATGGTGGAAATCCACCTTGGACCTAGCAATGTCTGTACTCGTAAGGACAAGTTCAAGGTGATTGTACTCACTGTTATACTGTCATTGCACCAGGAAAATGACTCTTTTTTTTTTTTTTTTTTTTTTTTTTTTTTTTTTTTTTTTTTTTTTTTTTTTCTTTTTTTGGGTAGCAAAAAAAAAAAAAAAAAAAAAAAAAGTTCTAGGAAAAATATTAAACCC